ACTATTGTCTGCCCGAACTGCCACAGACAGAAGGGTATAGTTTCTCCAAGAAGCAGAAATTATACTTACCTGTTGGATACCGCTATAAACCTGTGAAGGATCCCTGTAGCCGTGTCATTGTTATAGTACTGCTGTTAAGAAGGCCACGGTACTGTAACAGTATAATACCTACCCTTATTAGCTTAGTTTTTATTATTATACCAATTTTCCTTGTCACATTTGGTGGTGACTGTGAGATTAAAACTACTTCTCTTCTGGCCAGCACTGTGAGATAGAACTTTTCTAACAACCAAACAATCTGATATCGGATTATCCAAGAGAGATAAACTTTTAATCACCAATACTGAAATACTGGTAGATACCACCCAAGACCTTCACAAACATGGATTTTTATTATAGTCAACAAAAACAAATATTGACCATAGGTCAAACCAAACTATGCTAACACCTGAAAAAAAATGCCCACTACTAACCAAAAGAGTCATGACTGCAGCAAGCCTGAAAAAATCTCAAAACGATTGACAAAGCCGAAGAAGCCTACAACAAGCAATATGATGCATCTATTATAGCAGAAAAGGACACCACATTAGTATATGCCCTGAAATGAACAGAACGTTACTGAAATGTCTAGAATTGTATGACACACTTACTGAAGAGCAAGCCACGGAAGTTTGAGAAATAGCAGACTAAACTATAAGTAATTTCAATATAGGTGATCCACAAAAACTGGAACTTTTTGCAGAAATTCTAGAGGATGTTTGTCTGAGAAGTAGCCTGGACAATGACAAACAAGAAGAGGTTGTATATCTACTCCCGTATAACCAAGTAACCTCAACTATAAAAAAAAAATCTCGTACACAATAGTCCCTACCATGAAAAATTTTTCAGTAAAGCCCAGTATAAAAAAGATCCAATTACGAAAATTTTTAATGTCTATTTCATTCTAGAAGAAACAGCAGAAGATGATAAAACTGACTCTGAGATCATCCTAGAAAGCCTGATTAATGGATACATAGAAACATTAGAAAATTGGATGTCTAAACCAAAGGAACTTGAAAATCCCAAACTAGCAAATCGTGGATACTGTTATTGAAATGAAACTAGCATTAAAAAGAATGAGAAAAAAATAGGTAGAGTTGAAAAGGATGAACCGAAGGTGCTTACCCATTACCAAAAACTGGCTGAAATAGGTAGTGCCAATGAAAAAGGCAACCTTGGTTACTGTCATTAAAAAGGAATTGTGAATGAAAAGGATAAAAAAAAGACGTCCATCAATGATCAAAAGTCAACGGGTATGGACTATATTAATGAATCAAGCAGTATTGAAATAAAGGACATAAAGCATTCGAAGGCTCCAGAAAACTTTCTGCTATGGATTTTGCTAATGAAAATTATGATCTTGTACCTTACTACCGAAATAGAAACAGTCTTGGAAAGAATAGTCCTGATGCATTCATTTATTATTAAAAAGCCGATAATATAAATAACCCTGATGGAACCTACCTGGTGGGACCCTGTTATAAAAATGGAATTTGTATCGAAAAGAATGCCGATGCATTTAATTATTATTGACAGCCTGCAGATATGGGTGGTGCTAATGAAATATATCTGGTTGTTCTCTGCTATGAGAAAGCAATTGGAGTCAAAAAGGGCAAAAATAAGAGAATAGAGGTTGAAAAGAAAACCTCAGCTGCTCACCCGAAACATGCAGAAAATGATAATTCAGATGAAAAGTATGGTCTCGAACTCTATCAGCAAGATAGAATGGGAATTGAAAAAGATGGGTATAAGCTGTTTGCCTATTATCAAAAACCAGCAGATGTCATTAATAAGTCTAAATCAAACAAACTGGATCAGAAAAAGGAAAATGAGATAGAAACCGTACCTGCAAGATCTGATAACATCGACGATGATGAAACCGAAGATGAAAGTGATCATAAGACATTGGTTGGACATGAGGATGAGAATGATGAAGGGTTGAATAATAACTTATCTGAAAGGTTCCTAGAAAAAAAAGCCCTGTATTATGAATATAAAAAATAGATAGGTAAAGTTAGTAAATTCCAGATGGCCATGAACACATAAGAAAAACACACCAAAATAGAGCCAACCAAAGATGGACAGGAGGCACTAAGAAGTTGTGTAGATACCTCTAAAAATGAAAAAATGTCATTTGAATGGGATTTGAAATCTGCAAAAGATCTTGACGAAGCCTGCGAATTCTGGAATGCAAAGGTTAGTGAGTTTAAGAAAATGAATGAAGACAACCAGAAAATGATAAAAAGCCCATACCAGATTGTTCCTGAAAAACCCCACCTACTAATATGGGTCTCACTCAAAGCAAAATCAGCGTACAGCATCAAGAACTTGCTAATATGAACCATTGTGGTGAAATAAGTATCAGCCAAGATGAAATTTTTGATAAAATCCATTGTGGATCTTGCTATCAAAATAATACCAATCTTGGAGTTGGAAGAAAGAAAATGGAAACCAAAGATATTGATGAAGATAAAGAAGATTGTAGAACATTAGTAGGCGACGATAAAGTATTTGAAGTGAAGAACATAATTTTCTGATACTTACCAGCATATGACCTCAGTAACTCTGCCTTCGACTCTAGAGGAAACCTAAGAAATAAATTTAACCTGATTAGCACAATATAATAATGAAAAAAATGTATACCTATACATATTATTATTTGATTATTACTTTGTAGTTTCTTTTATTTTTCCTTATTACAATTGGCATTTTATGTTCTTGTGGAACTCAAAAATAAGCATAGGAGAATTGTGAGAGAGAAAAATCATCCAGGTTGATGTCAAAGCAGCTCGGGTTAATCTAATCCAAATTGGTCCAAATATGCCAAATCTGCCAAAAAGGGCAGATAGGTCAGATATGTCATATATGCAAGATATGCCATATATACCATATAGAACAGATATGGTCAGTATGGCAGAAAAGTGCATAGCTAATTAGTAGTCGTAAAAATGTATTTAAGTACAAGTATTTCGCTGTAAATAAAGAATAACTCCCTTGAATGCAAATTTCTAAGTTAAAGAAATCAGAGTATTTAACTTGTGATTAGTTTCCAAAGTTCAAAGGTTTTCTAAGTAGAAGTATTTGTTCTACTAATTCCCCTCAATAATTAAAACCTGTAATAATGAAAGAAATTTGTGATCAAATCCTGTGATTCTGTATAAAGAAATTCATAACATAGTCTAGAGCTTAAATTGACCCTATTCTCAGACCAAATCAATCCACGCCTCAATCGAAGCCCACTACATAGGGTGTATAGGAAAGATATTATTAAATTCAGTAGTATTTGTATTAGATTTTAGTGTAGTACCTACCTCTTATTAGCTTGGTTTTTATTGTTATATGATTTTCCCTGTCACAACATACAGTACGTAGAGTATTATACATATAGTACTGTACGCGGCACATCTTTAATGACTATAGAGGGTTTGACTGAGAACACTTAAAAAATAGGTACTCCAGTGATCATCACATCACATGAAATCATATAATGACATTATTTGTTTACTCGCACTAACAAATCGGCCTAAACTATACTATCATTTAATCCTAACTCTAACTCTAATTTAGGCCAAGTAATTTAATCATGTGATGTGATGATCACGAAGATATCATGAGATACTTATTTTTTAATCTTCTCTTTGACTGTAATTCTTAAAAAAATGTATATAAAAAGCCTTTTTGTGCTAATAAAAAGGAAAAAACAACAATTCTACAATATCTTAAACCCTTAAAAACTGAATTCAAATAAACTAACCAATGAGTTATGACCGGTTCTAACTGTGCATATATATACACTGCTCTCCCAAACAATAGTTATATTATAAAAGAAATATATTAATTTTTCCAAGGTTCGTCAACAACAATAAAGAATTGTTTTAAAATTAACATATTATCGAAACCTTGATTATAACCTATTCCATGAATATAACACTTACAAGCTTTAATACAAAATTTCTGCGCCTCAATATACATAACGAATAAAAATATATGCAAAGTAAATGAAATAATATATTTCAAATTCATGATTGTTATAATCAAATTCTATGTGCAATTTGTGTACTTATTATTTATTATATTTATTTATTATATTTATTATTATGGATAAATATATGCATCACATGCTGCGATATAGTTATACATCACATATCCTTCCTTTTAATAATACTAGTGCAATTGGTAGCATGTAAGCGCCACCCATCTTGTTCATTATGTATAATTACCCTCTGAGATACACATTAATTTTTATTATGTGAAATTTAAGCCCTATATAGCAAGTATGAAGATTAATAAAAATACTTTAATTATTAAGAGGTTTCAGAATTAAAACAATATAGCGTACCCTGGAAATGAACAGGAGTGCTAAGAAATTGTGTTTCAAAAGTTTGAAATCGGAAAATGAATACATTGCCTATTTCTGTTTTTATAAATTCTGAGAAATTTAATAAAAATTTGCCAAATAATTTTATGGCCAATTCGATTAAGCTATTGATTTTGGCAATAATTAGTGTATAATTTTATATATAAAATAATTTTATCATTATAACGTAGATGTGCGATGTTGTTGCATTAAAATCAGGAATATAGACAGTGATATTTATAATTAGATATGCTATTTCTTAAATTATATCATAAAGCTTTTGATTAGATTTATCATTACAATCTAATCTTAAAATTTTATTTATTTATTTTGTTACAATACATAAAATTTTATATTGTGATTTTATTAACTGACTTAGGTTACTCTCAAGCATCTCTCTGATATAATTAACTAGCTATAGAGATCATGCACAAGTACTATAATTAATTAAAGTAAACCTTACAGTAATTTTGTCTAAGATTCATATTGCGAAATGCAGATATTAAATTTTAGCCAATTAGTGCTCCAAATCAGATCAGATCAACTCAAAATCTGATCCAAAATTTCAGATTGGGTTGGGTTAGAAAAATCTAACCAGAAAATTTCAAGTCAGGTTTGGGTCAGGTTCTGGTTGAACATTAACCCAGACCAAATCTAAACTGAACCCAACCTACCCTGAAAAACATCCAAATTAAAGATGCTCAAAATAAACATTTTATATGTCTTTTGGGTTCTAATAGCAAATACATATATTTATAAGAGCACGTATATATTTATTTTTAAATAATAGTTTAAATAAAACCTCGAAAGATAGACAAGTATGTACCAATTAGATTTCTTCAAACAATCGACAAAATTTGTCATAACAGATCCTCGATTTTGATTGGTTAATGTTGCAGATCTGTAAAATTTTGGCCCATATTATATAATTGTTTACTAATTTCCAACCATAATTTGCTTTTTGAATTTTTGGAAAATAAACCTGTATTATGATAAACTTTGCTTAGTGTGATACAGTTTTTTTATATAGTGAAAATTAAAATTATAATTATAACACAACTGTTTACACTACCAACCCAAAATGTTGGAATTTACAGATAAGATAATTACAGATAAAGGCCCAATATTTGAAAATTAATACAATTAAAGGCCTAAATATACTATTAAAATTGCTAGCCAATTTAAACATAATAGTATTCTGATTAATTGCTTCATTTTGTGATTAAATAGATGTTTTAGAGTTATTATTCATTAGTTAGAATTAAAAGAAAATATAAAAATATGACTGACCAAACTGATTTTTAAGCAAAATGAAAATTAACTATGTGATCTATTAGCTTTTGGTGTCTCAGTTCTACTTTAAAATGAATAAGATTTAAATATTATAATGTCAAGATACTGCTATTTATTTAAATAATAATACAGTAAGCTTTACAAGGTATGATCATATGCTTTGAATCCTTTTATAGAAGTTAAACGAGTTAAATTATAAGAAATCATCCCTACTATATAAATATAGCCACTTTTGCACTTGTTAGCTGAAATAATAAAAGGGTATTAACTGTTTAGTTTGTAAAGCAAATAATCAACAGCTTATTTTGTTTGTTCTTTCTGAACTTATAAGGAGAAAGAACTTCAACAAAATAACTATCCAGAGCCAAATAGACATTTTATGTTAATAAAATTATATCGATTTGTAATTGTATATTTTACATGGTTTTTGTTATAAGCAAGCAGATTTTTAAGAAATATATTAGAATAAATTTACAGTGTAAATAATTGGTTGATGAATCAAATATAAATTTATATTATGCATTTGAATTTATATTTGAATTACTAATAGATTATTATTACATTTCTTATGTTAACAATTAATGACTATATTACAATCATATTTGAATCATCGAAACAGACCTAAATCATAGGTTCTTAAAAGCACATAATTATATTGGACCCTTATCTGTAATAATTTTCAAACATCAGGCCTCTATTATGTATAATTATTTTTATTTTGGGCCATTATTTAGAATTAATTTCATTTTTTGAGCCCTTATTTGTAAATTCTCTTATGCAATGCACAATTATTACTGTAGTAATTATAAGTATAATGTGCTTAGATTTGATTAGCCAACTTCAATGATCATTGTTACATGAATTTTTAAATGTCTAAGAGCAAAAAAGGTGATTGAATTCATTTTTTAAAAAATTTAATATACAGTCAAACCTTCCTAAATGCAATACAACAAGACCATATACAAAAATTTAGTAAAATATATACATAGAGAGGTATTGCATTTAGGGAGATAAAAATCTATAGATGTAATATTAGTTGGGCCAAAGAGAAGACATGCATTTAGGGAGGTATTTTATAGGACATGCTCTTAGAGGGGTAGCATTTAGGAGGTCTGACTTAGTGATGTATCCCAAACTGTTTCGGCACTAAATTACGGTTACGACAACTTTTGATCGGGATTTGGGCTTTTGCCAAAACCCAAACTCATTTCCAAAACCCAAACTCATTTCCAAATCCCAAATATATTCCCAAATCCCAAACTAATTCCCAAATCCCGATGATGTAATTTTTACTATGATCAACATAATAAAAAATAATTATTACTGATGTTTAAACTTTATTATTGATTAGTAATACGAAATTGATAAATTAAATGATATTGTTATTTAAACGTTTTGGAAATAAATCTTTTTTTATATTATTTGAAATGAATTTTGAATCTTCGACAAGTGGCACTACTGATAGACAACAGATTATATTAATTGATACGAATTCAGATTCTTCGGCAAGCAATATGTCTGACAATCAGCAAATATCAAGTCAAAAAAAAGGCAAGAATTGAAAAAAAGAAGGGAATCGAAAAAAAGGAGGGCGTCCAAAAGATGTAGTGTGGGAGTATTTTACAAAAGGTTCAGCTGCTGATAAATATGGACATTATGGAGCAACTTGTCAATATTGTGGACAATACTGGTTAAGAGGAAAACCAAAAATAATGGAAAGCCATTTTGCACTACATTGCGAAAAAGTTCCAAATAATGTTAATACTATATTTCTTCTTTAAGTTGCTGAAAGAGCTGAAAGATCACGAGATGATAGTGATGATGATTTTGTTACTTCGAATCAAAAAAAAAGAAAAAAAAAATCTGAACACTTATATAAACCTGTAGAACCAGTTTCTGAAGAATGAAGAAAGCTTATGAATCGTGTTCTTTTAAAAGCTTTTACTTGTTGTGGTATTCCGTGGGCTGTAATTGATAATTCTTTTTTTGTGGATTTGCTCAAAATATCAGAACCTGGTTATACTCCTCCAAGTCGAAATACTTTATCAGGCCGTCTATTAGATGAAGAGCTTGCAACTATTTCAGTTAATATAGATAAATCTCTTGTTAATCAGCATTATTTAACATTGTCTTTAGATGGTTGGACCAATCCATCGAATGATTCTTTATATAATTATATTATTTCAACTTCAGATCGCAAAGAATATCTGATTGCTATTCAAGATTATTCTTTGGATTCTCACACAGGTACCTTTATTGCAAATAAAATTAGCACGATTATAGAAAAAATTGGATTATCAAAATTTGTCACTATAGTAACTGATAATGGATTAAATGTTAGAGTAGCACGTCGAATTATTAATGAAACATATCCACATATTATAAATATTCAATGTATTGCACATTGGTTTAACTTAATTTTAAGTGATCTGGTTAATATATCATCAATTAAAACTACTTTAACAAATGCAAGTACAGTAATAAGTTTTTTTAAAAAATCACATCTTACAAGTCATTTACTTCGTGATGGAATAAATACCATGAATATTCGAGGTGGTGGTTTAGAATTATTTACTAAAACTAGATGGGCTTCAGCATTTAGTACTGCAGATTCATTAATTCGGTCTAAACCTGTTTTTGACAAAATTCTTGATGAAAATCGCAATGCAATCACAAATGATACAGTTTACAAGTTACTAAAGGATGAAGATGAAACTTTTTTTAGTACTTGTCGTCGAATAATCACAATATTTCGTCCAATTAAAGAAATAATAACTGTATTAGAATCATGAACTGCCAATTTAGCTGATTGCTTTATTAATTTAGTACGATTAGGTGCTACAATTAATAAGCTATCAAATAATAATCCATTTAAAATGAATGCTATTAATATTTTTAATAAACGATATGCAAGTCTTGATATAAATATTTATTTACTTGCATATTATCTTCATCCTCAATACCGTGGAAATGGTTTAAAAGGTTTTAAATTTTGGGATCTTTGTAGATATGCATTAGAGTTGTATTCAAAACAATTAAATAACAAAACAAAACAACTTCATGATGAACAAGATTGTAATGAATTAATGAATCAGCTTTGTAGATATAAGGCTCAAGATGAGCCTTTTAATTTTCCGTATGATAATGTTCATCAAACACCAATGCTATGGTGGTCTATTATTGATGATGAGTATTCTCATTTGCAAAAACTTGCAAAGATGATATTTTCAACAACACCTTCACAAGCTTCTTGTGAACGCACTTTTTCAGTTTTAAAATGGTTATATGGTGATAAAAGAACACGACTTCAAACTACAAAATTAGAAGCTATGGCGAAAGTACATTCATGGTATCTTTCAAATATTACTAAAGAACTACATTTTTATGATAACAAACTTTCAATTCAGGATCTATATAATGACGTTCTAGAACAGACTGCATTTGCTAATTGGGAAGATTCTTGTGAGCCAATCTATAAAGATATCAATATCGAATCTCAGCAACAAGTTGTTGAAAATTAGAAATTGGTGATTTAATTGATTTAAATGATTCTATGATAGTTAAAGACAGTAGATCGGAAGATATTGAAAGCTATAATAATAATTATATTGAAGGTCGTGGAAATTTAAATTTTAACATAGATGATATTGTAAATAAAGGTCTAGAAAATACAAGACAACAATATTCAAGCCTTTAATATAAAATCAATATATATCTATTCTTTCTAAATCATTCTTTTGCTTTATTTCTTACATCATTTTTAGCTATAGATTATATATAACTTACATTTCTTTGCTTGTATTTCAATCTGTAGTATTTGCATCTATCTTTTATCGCTTCGTAGAATTGATATGTTTATTTGAAAACATTTATCAAACCAATTATGTTTTGAAATAAATAAATGACGCTTATTATATAAAGAATACAAAGTTAATGTTTTTATAATATTCATTTACAAAATAAATTAATTTTATTGTTATTATAGTTATTGTGAATTTTAGTTTTTGGCAGTCTGAATTCGGCACATGACTAAACTACCAGTTTAGATTACATCACTAATTTGGGACCTTGTTTCGGCAGAATCCCAAATTGGTTTCGGTAGTTTGGGATTCGGCACATGACGAAATTAATGGGTTTGGGTGACATCCCTAGTCTGACTGTATTTGTCCTAAAATTTTAGGTCGGGCTAAAGCTCTAACCTAAAAATTGGCAACCTGACCCAAACTGAAATTTCAGATAGGTTCAGGTTGGTTTATAACCCGACCTAATCTGACCTATTTGGAGCACTAATCATAATCGACAAAATCTAGAATAATCTCCATGATTTAAGGTTATAAATACTGTGAATTTATGATATTTATGAACAAAAATAGAATATAAAACAAAACACAGTTTAACTTTTTTATAGGCTAATAGTAATAAGACCATTAAATTTGGCCCAGTAGATCACAAAAATTTGTATTATACATTTTATAACAATAAAATCTTTTTATAAAGAAAATTTTATAGTCATTAAATGTAAAATCTAAATATCTTATGATTTACCAGACCAAATTTAATGATTTTATTACCATTAAAATCTTAAGAATGCCCTTAACAACTTTAATTAGAAGCCAAAGACCAGTTTACTTAATAAAACACCAAGATCGGGTTGTATAAACAATGATCTCTTTGTTATCAACACCTTGTAGATATTAATCTCATAGATATCAATATAATAATTTAACCAAAATAGATTGATATTAACATAGGATCAACTGTATAAACTGTTAATTTTAAATATATAATATTTTTATATATTTTAAAAAGGTTACTAGCTAGTTAATTGGTCAGTTGGTCAGTCAGTCGGTCATTAGCCATCAGTTATAACTGTAGTTGGTTAGTGGTCATTGAGCAATAACTGAGCTATTGACTGTGACCGACTATGACCAACTGTTGCTATCCCTAGTTACAATGGTTTACAACTAGAGATGGGTTCTGTTGGTCATGGTCGGTCATGGTCAGTCATTACCGGTTATTGATAGTCAACCTGTTGACCGCGATCGGTTATTTAAGGTTAAATGACCAGTTATAACCAATCAATTATTTAATTGATTATTTGGATTTTTGCTCTGTAAGCCCTTCTTCTACTTCTAATAAAGTTGTAGAGGAAGAAATTTGGCTATGATTATGGTTAAAAAATCAATATTGACCTATTGGATAACAAGATATAAGAATTTAATTCTCACGACTATACATTTCCTTTTTTTATTTACTTAAATAAGATCGCGAAAATTAAAATATTCATATCTCATAATATATTAGACTAATTTTAGCAGTTTATTATCATCATTGTCAGAATTTCTTCCTCTACAACTTTAATCAAAAGTATGGAGATTTACTTAGTAAAAATTGAGTAACATTTTCAAAACAATCTAATTCTGGTCAATTTTTTAGATCATTTGGCCTATTGGAGATGAGTTTTAAACTAATCTCCAATAGGTCAAATGATCTACAAATTTGACAAAAGCAGTGATCATCAATCACGTGAAATCATGCAATTACGTCATTTGTTTACCAGCACTAATACTAATACTAATACTAACAAATCGGCCGAGTTTATTTCAAATCTCAGATTTTTATCGATTGGCCGAGCAAATTTTTATCAGGTGTCCCAGAATTTATGATAACAGCTGTAATATGAAACAAATCATGGTTTTTTTAAAGAATCTGGCATCGGTCATTATTTGACCGGTCAGTTAAACCGCTCTGACCGGTCAGCAACGGTTACGGTCAATGACCGGTCACAACGGTTACCAATCCCTAGGGATAGCAAAAATCATGATTTAAAACATTTGATCTTTATTGCGTAATTCAATATTTATATTCAAAATTCTGACTTTGAATGCGATTTTTAATCCACAAAATCTCCAATGCGGCATAACATAATGTTCTACAAAGGTTATATCTTTTGCAAAGCGTAATAGCAAAAGATTTAAATCTGCTTTAAATTGATTTATAATAAAATGAAAATCAGTGATTTATATCATCGTGATTTAAATCACATGCCATTCCTAAAATAATTGATCAGAATTCAACTTCAAAGAATTTTTTGACATAATAGAAGCTCTTATGATCAATAAGAATCCAGAATTTGCAAATCATAATAATTTCTTTTTACTTGTATCGATTTATATAGCATTGATCTTTCTCTTTGTTTTGTGTCACGAACTTAAAAATTTATCGAAATTAATTTGTAAACTGGCTTTCTATCGTAACGGATAGAATTGAATATATAGAATTTTGGATTTTATTTTTTATCTCCATAGCGATGTATCGCTATCCCCCTGATATTTAGTTGTCGCATCGCGTGATGTCGGGGTTTCAATATTCAAACTCCAGTTATGATTAGTAATATAGATTACCTATAGATAACTGATCATGAGCGGGGCTTGAATATCGAAACTCCAAAATCACATGATAAGACAATTAAATTTCGGGATTTTGATTGTCGGAATTTTGATTTTCGGGATTTTGATTTGACTTAGACCCGTAGCAATACATCGCTATAGCGATAAATTACAAAACCTTAGAATTTTTAAATAAGGATATTAATTTTATCTAGAATGTCTGACCTTTATTGCTATTAATGAATAAGCCTTGGTCGATGATTCTTTAAATAAAAACGAGAATGGCTGTAATATACGAAAAACTTATAGGGTTTCATAATTAAAATTAGAGAATCTTATTTTATTTGTACGATTTATAATTCAACATAGTAAAATATGATGTTGAAAAAATT